TGCACACAAACTGAAGAAACCCACTCAGCCTTAAAGAGGTCGATCATTTTGCTCGCCTAAAATTTCATCTCTGTGAGTGCTTTCTTTCTCGGGTCTGTCTTGCTCTCTCTCTCTCCCTCTCTCTGTGTCTCTCTCTACTTCTACCGGAGAGTGTTTTCTTTCTCTTTTCCTGTTTCTGCTGCTGAATGAACGCAAAATACATGATTTGAAGGGATTTTGGTTTTTAGGCTAACAGTTGGAAATCTAAAATCTTGCTCTTCTGAATGGCTTTAAATGCCAGTCACTCAACATATAACGTTTACATAAAGACGCATATACAGAACCAAGAATCTTGCTTTTTTAAAGCAAAAACAAAACCACAACAAAAGCTCCTTTTACTCCTTTCATCCCCTTCCTATTTTATTTACTTAACTATTAGCACTTACCCTGAGATGTGCCATAAATGCTCTATTCCAAATGTATAAAAGCCAACCACATCTCAACTGAGAATTAAACAGTTTTAATGTCTTCAAATCCATGTCCCTGATCCAAAGCCTAATACAGACAGTCACTGGCAGTGGTACAATAATTCTACACAGCAGACATCTGATTCTTGACATTTAAAAATAACAATATTAGGGGGGGGGGGAAGAGCCCTTTTTTAAAAAAAACTACAAACAGCTTGTGAGTGAGCACATTATCACCAATTGATTGTATTAACTGGAACTGGCAATGATTTCAAGCTACAATATTTCATTTCAAAATCAATGTCACACAGAGGCCAAATACCTACAGACCTCTCATTTTCTATATAATTACAGCAATGGCCTATGTTAAATTAATTCTAAGTGATAATTGGACAAAGGGAGAATCAGAACTGTGCTAGTATTTAGATGCTATTATTGGTGACTATTAATTTAATCTTTGTTCATTCTTGAATCAAATTAGTAGCCTTTCAGTCATTCTGTTGCTTGTCTAAGATGGATCACATTTCATAAACATGCAGGCCCACACATCAGGTCAAAAACCCCCAACACATTTATTTCTATTTCTGAAGCACATTAGAGACTCAGACCGATCTGGGATCAAGTCTTAGCTCTTCTACTTACTATCTATGCATTCCTGGGCAACTGATTTAATCTTTTGTGCCTCAGTTTTGTTGTCTGTAAGCTGCAGTAAACAGTAATACTTTACAAAGTTGATTTAGGTACTAAATGAGATACTGTATGATTTCTAGCACATAAAAAGTATTTGATATATGCTACTTCCTCTGTTTTATATTTGGAAGGGGGTTGGGATCGGGCATAGTAAAAGGAAAGAATTCGGGTTTTGTAGGCAGACATCAGTTTTGACCCACCATGATGCTATGGACTAGCTGTGTGTCCTTGGGCAAGTTACTTAACCTAATTTACTAAATCTCAGCTTCTTCAACTGTAAAATACCTTTTGGTTTTAAAGAGCAAATTAGATAACATTGGGAGAACATTCACTTTGGTAGGTATTTATTAAGTGAGAGCTCCAGGCTCTGGAAAATTGCTTTAATTAGTACTCTGCATATGTAACTTAGGAGTTTAAAGATGTAGACTGAGCTCACAGGCCTTTAGATCAAGTGTCTCACTTTATAGCAGAGGAAGGAGACCCAGAAGAGCTGAAATAATGGTTCCAAGCAACATCAACATCACTAGTTCATGGTAAGTAGGGACTAGAACACAGACCCTCTTATTTAAAGCTCAATGCCTTGTCCACTCAACCCTGTGATGTTGAAATTGAACACATTGGAAATTCAATTTCAGGACTAGGTGGTAATTAAAACAATACAACTAGAAAAAAACAAAACAAAAATCTTCTCTTTCTTGAATTCCCCAAGTTTGCTTCTAAGGATGAGCTTACAAATGAAATTATTCCACAGGAGCTGGCAGGAGCTGGCTACATCCATCTTTCCGAGAGGAGCTCGCACAGGACAGCAGATTCTCCTTTTCCTCTAAAGCAAGACAGGAGCTGGAGAGAACGTCCAGTTCTCAGGCGCTGCCCATTCTCCTGCCTCCCCTTGTGAATGGCCAGCTCCTTCACTTTTTTTAGAAGAACTCTTCGACATCAGCACAATGGGTGAGAAGAACACACTGTTCTACATTTAGTTTACTCACTAACCTACTACTTCATCATATTTCAGTTTGAAAGCCTTGTACAGACCAGGAGCTCAATAAATATCAAAATTTGTTAAAGAAGGTATAATTCGCCCTAGCTGGTTTGGCTCAGTGGATAGAGCGTCAGCCTGCGGACTGAAGGGTCCCAGGTTTGATTCCGGCCAAGGGCACATACCCGGGTTGCGGGCTTGATCCCCAGTGTGTGGCATGCAGGAGGCAGCCAATCAATGATTCTCTCTCATCATTGATGTTTCTATCTCTCTCTCCCTCTCCATTTCTCTCTGAAATCAATAAAAATATATTTTAAAAAAAGAAGGTATAACTCTACTCTCAGTTATATTTAAAGGCTTGAACTAGCTCAGGTTAGGGTTAATTATTGCCTAGTGTAGAATAGAAACTATTAAATGTTTTCAATATTTTGATAATTTCAGAATTAAAAATAAAGGTGCCTTGTGTATCAAAGTCAGATTAGTGATTACTCTGAGGAGGAAGGGAGAGAAGTGGTATTGAGGAAGGAACATATGAAATCCATTGCAATTAATGTTTTATTTCTATAGCTGAGTGATGTATATTTTACTTTTTTATACCTTTTTGTAAGCCTCAAATATGTCATTTAAAAATTGACTTAAAATAAGTTCAATAATTTGAAAATAGAATTTCCAAATCTTTATGATAGATCCACTAATATGCCTGTGCTAAATCCCATACCTAAATCTTCAAGCTTTCATTCTCATTTTACTAAAGAATGTAAATAATATGTTTACTTTAAAGATTTTTTTCTCCTTGCTCGCCATTTTCATGCCCTTGATTCCAGGGTTGTGCTGGGTATATAGGAAAGAGCTATGTTGCATCACATAGATCTAAGTCTAAATCTCAATTCTATAATTTACTGGCCACATATCTTTAAATCATTTAATATTTCCAAGCCTTGGTTTCCTCTCTTGTAAAAACAGAGTATTATTATATTTAGCTCTCAAAATTATTATGAGGATTAATATGGAAATGTTTGCTACAGCATCTGGTACATAGTAAGTTTTCAATTAATATTAGTTTCTTTCTCTCTCTCTCTCTCTCTCTCTCTCTCTCTCTCTCTCTCTCTCTCTCCTTCCACTTTTCACCACTACTTGAGCTTTTTACTTCACAATGGTATAAAAAGAAAAAAGAATTTAAGGTAGGAAGAACATGGGCAATTATGCAACACAATGGAAGCATTTTGTTACTAACAAAGGCTAGCTCCAGATGCATGTAGAGTATCCTTCTTTAACCTGATATTTCTTATCTAATCTCATCACTATTTATTAAAGTCCAGTTTTTAAAAAAAAATTATTCTATTTTTGCTGCTAGTCACAGAAACTTTATAGAAAAAATATCCTTCTAGGGCTTCTATCTTATTATCCATTCTTTCTTCAAGACAGATAGTCTAATCAAAGTATTTTATTCTCAGTGATGGATGAGATTTATGTGCTTAAGGCAGTTCTAAAGTTTTCTGATGTAATTCCTATAATGGTCATTTCCATAAATAGAGAGGCATGGGTTCTAGTCCTACCAGAGCCACACACTAACAGTATACCACTAAGTCTTTACCTTTCTTTGAGTCTAGTTTTTTTATATGCTAAATGAAGAGGTTGGATTAAATGATCCCTTTAGCTCTAACTTAGGCAATACACCATGTAATTGTGTAGTGTTTGTGAAAACTATCCACATGTTGGTGGCTTCTTCTGAAGTCTGGGGAAGGGCTCTGGCACTGTCCTTGCCCACTGACTGCCAGCCTGGAATATTCTCAGGGTTTGTAGACGCATGTCCAAAGGAGCCAGTTTTGTCAGGAAGAGAGCAAGATGATAAACTTCTCAGTGGGAGACTTTTTCTTGCATTTCTTCTTAAGATTAGAGTGGGAAATGATTATAGTACAGTAAGAACTTTTTAAAGAGATGGGGATAGTAGGAGAAAGAGGAAAAAAGACACTGTAACAAGGAAGGATATGAGGGTCATTGTTATGAAGGGTTGTGTCGTAGGAAAAAATGACAACACTAGAGGAAGGTGGTAGGGAAGGGAAATACTCTTCCCCTATTCTTTTTATCCAGGTGAAATCTAGTTTAAGTGACTGGAGGGCAGCGGGAAAACATGAGGAGGTTGTGGCAGAGGAGGAGCAGCCTGTGGTGGGTCTGTACGTGTGTGGGATTTACACGCTGACACTAATTGCATTTTATTGTGTGGATGCTTCCCCTGTCCTCCTCCTCTCTGCTGTCCTACTCTCTGCAGCTGTGCTTGTCAGGTCCCCTAACTGGCTCCAGCCCCACCTTCCCAGTGCTCAGGGCATTACCCCCATTCCCTGTGCTCTGGGCAGCGGGGGCTCAGGTGGGAGTGTGGTTAGTGTTGGTATTGGTGTGATAATTACAATGGTGAAGACAGATCAATTCCCCCAAACTAATAACTCCAGGCAGAATTTTACAACTAAAAATAAAACAGAAAACAGAAAAGAACAACAACTCTAGATAGATATAATTAAACTCTTTCCAAAATTCCAAAGGTCATTGTTGACTTTTGTAAAAAGGTGGATTTATTTTAACATTCTGTGTAGACTTCCCTTTCCTCTCCTCTCTATCCCACAATCCTTCAGACAAAAGAACACAAAACATGAATAACTCCTTGCCTCTATGCGGGTGTGCTTTTCAAAGCACTTTGATGTCTAGTAACTCAAGATACCTAGATGAAGATGGTAGCAGGTTTATTTCCTGATAGGAGCACTTAGCCAGAGAAATGTTAAACAAATTTTTTTTTCATGCAGACTATTCATAGGAGAGCCAATACTAGACCCAGGAGAAGACACCACACAATTAGCAGGTATAATTTCTGAACATCCACCCAACAGAAATGGTACCTGAAGGTACTGGCAGGAACGTTCTTGCTGACACGACTCAGACTTCACCATGGCCTGGTCCACGTTCACCGAGGCCTTCTGGTAGACCTCCCGGGCGCGGCTCACAGTCAGCGTGGACGACCAGGCGCTCTTCTTCAGGAGCGGCGCATCCAGGTTGACGGGCAGGTGGGCACAGGTGGAGCACTTGACGTCGTTGTTACTCCGGGAGGCCTTGACCGCCTGCTCACTGATGGTGTTGTAGGTCTCCATGAAGTACTGCGAGGCCGAGCGGTCAGGGCACCTGCCCATGGTCATCACGCCCGACGGAGAGTGGTAGATGCACATGTCGCTGTCCAGGTTGTCGTCGGAGCTCCACCAGCCCGGCGAGGTGTTGGGGGAGGTGTTGGGCCGGGCCTTGGGCTCCGGGCGCCTCTCCTTGCTCTTGCTGCGCTTGCCATACCTCACGGTCTGTGTTTCGTCGGGGCTGGCTTTGCCCCCGTTGACGCTGCCTTTGGATGGTCCCTCCAAGGAGTGCGACTTGGTGAAGAGCTTCTGGACCGAGTGGACCAGGTGGCGGATGCGGCCCGGGCTGTCGCTGCGGTGCTCCAGGGCTGTGCGCTTGTACTGCAGCGTGTGGTACCCATCCCGGCTGAGCGGCAGCTGCCTCTCAAACTGGTCCAGGAGGTTGGGGGGGAGGCGATTGGCCTTGGTGGCCAGGGTGCGGGGCACAAGGGCGCACTCGTCCTTCAGCTCCTGCTGCGAGTTGTAGTGCCTGCGAGGGAAGGTGCTGCTGGCCAGCGGGTCGCTGAAGGGGCCCACGCACTCGGCCTGGAAAGAGTTGCGCTGCGTGTAGTAAGGGTGGTCAGCCGGGTGGTGCTCCACTGGGCTCAGCAGGTATGGCTTGCGGTCCGAGTGGTGCGAGTCACAGGTGGAATCGCAGGTGACTCCGTGGTGATGGCTGCGGCTGCTGGATAACCCTTTCATTGCTGATGGGGCGCAACCGCGGGGGTCATGGACACCCCTTGGTCAGGTTCCAGACCCGTCTCCCGCCAAGACCTGGGGGATGAACAGGAGAGGGAAATGGTTAACAGGTCCTTTGTTAAATAGATATTGCTTTGTCTTGCGGTGCTGTCCGCTACTGTGTTTGTTTTGTGGCAGAAGAACTCATCACTGCCCCTGAAAGCAGTTGCACTGCATCGTTGGAGAAACTCCATCGCCTCTGTAGGGTGGGAAAGACAACTCCAACCAGATATGGGGAGACTGTAGGGGTGAAAGCTAGTAAACCTGGAACAGGAAACTATAGAAATGCTGAAGTGTTTTAAAATTATTTGGAAAGAGGACCCCTTTTCCCCTTCCTCCAAGATTCCAATAACTGGCTGTATCTTCCCCTTGCTTCTCTGGCTTTATCCTTAACTGTATGTGAATGGGAAATCTAACTCACCAAAGGCTCATTTGCTCTGGGAAGCCTTTGCTGATCCCCCTTTGCAGACAGGACTAGTTCCCCTCTGTGCTTCCCCACCAGCTACTCTCTCAGCGCCGGTGGAATTGTCTCTGGCTTTCCTGGGTAGCTTCAGTTCCTTGCAGACCCGCCTACCTTTTAGGCACCTTTACATCCCTCTCCCTAGCACCAGGCCAGCCATGTAGACACATAGAGTAAGCATTCCATAAATGTGAAAAAAAAGAAAGGAATAAATAAAGGAGTATACTGGCACCTTATAACTTGAGGATATAGCTTTCTATCTTTGGTCACATGCTTTCCCATTAGAATTCTGTAGTAACAATGACACCACACAGGCACCCCTCCCCCACCATGGTAATCAGAGTTGATAAAAATAACAGTCTGGCAAATAAACCAGAGCTGTAGAGACAATCTGCCCCTATATTTCTGTCATCAGAGGGTCAACAAACCTAGAGCAGCTGAAGAAGGACTAAGCTTGAGTTGATTAGCTTGAATAACATAGCACCTGTTCTTCCTGGCTTAAAGGTTTCTGGTTAAATGTTCACAGACGATGGCAAGATGGCTAAAGGGGAGGTCCTTGAAATGTTCCCGAGGACATGAAACACCTGGGCTAAGGGTCAGTTCAGCCTCTGTGAGAAGCCACTCCTGCAGATCCACTGTGGGAGCTCATTCACTCTGAGCCCAGGCCTTCCCCGTGGCGTTAGTAACAGGGGCTGCTGTTGCCCCAGGCAGGAAATTTTCTGACTCTAACAGTGTGTGTTCTCCAGTCACTGACCAAGTTCCTATTGACAGCCCGAGTTTTACCCTTCCAGCACCCCAAAAAGTGCTTGGCTGATGGTGGGAACTCAGTAAAATATTTATTCAATAAATTAACGTATTAGTGCAAAATTTCCCAGAGTGGTCTGTACTGTGATTCAAGTCACATCTATTGAATGGAAAGATAATTGTGTGACAAGGGATGGGCCAAGCCAAGGAAGGAAGGGACCATCTTACAAGCATTCCAGGTACCAGTGGTTTTCAGAGTGAGGCAAGAGGGAGACAGGTGAATGGTCTTTGTGTCACCCCCCAACTCTTCATAACCCATCAAAGACTATCCCACCTCTGTAAGTTCCAACTGCCTTAGAGTAAAAGTTTGAAGGATTTGCCTGGCCTCCTGACTATATGATTGCCAAATAGAGGACAATCTGTTTGAAGGAGAGAAAGAAATTGACATCTGAAGAGGAGAAAAGGAAATCAGAACTCACTAGAGGCCCGATGCACAAAATTAGTGCAAGAGTACACCTTCCTTTCCCCAGTGCCGGCACCAGCTTCCCTCTGGCACCCAGGACCTGGGCTTTCCTCCAGCCCTGGCTTCATCTGGAAGGACGTCTGGTTTAATTAGCATACTACCCCTTTATTATTATAGATAATACCTGTGGATTAGGAAGAACCTGTAAATCAAAACTTGCCCATTGAGGAGAGACTCATGAAAAAGGAAACTTAAGCATAAAATACCTTGGAACTGCTTTGTATTAAGTGATGACTCCAAGAATAGGTGTGGAAAAAGGGATATCAGAAGGTTAAATACATGTTTTTAGCAAAACTGTGGCACAAACTAATTTAGATGAAAAAATCCATTGTATGAGGAAGTCTATATGAAACAGGTCCTGTTGCGGACATTTTTGCCTTTTAAATACGGATTTAAAAATAAAAAAAGCAAAAATAACAATCTAGTAGGATTATACTCACATAATTAGTCTTATGATTACACATGAAAGAGGAAAATGAAGACTGAGAGAAGGAGGAGCACCTCCACCTGCAAAGTGAGGTCTTACTCTTAAACTCCCTTTCCAGCACATTTCTTCCTGCCAATTCTCCCCCTCCCCTTCTTAATTAATGTTTGTCAGTGGCATCCATGGCCCTCATTTGCTCCAGCCTGTGGTGTAACTGGGTATCTCTCCTGTGCAGGGCCCAGTGTTTGCTGCTGCAGACCAGGGCATGCCCACTGAAGTCCCTACAGGCCAAAGAGCTTGCGAGGTGCTCAGAGAGACATGATCTCATCAGGAAAAAAAATACGAAAAGCAATTCTTATTATCTTCTGCATTCTTGGATAAGGAAGCTGCTAACCCCTGAATTAGATTTTAAGTGGCTGTAAAGACTTCTGAAAATAGAAAGGGAAATTGCCTTTCATACTTTCCCCTTTGAGTGTGGGTGGGGACTGTAGGTAAATATGCCTTCATAACGGTTTCTATGATGATCCTCTCTCTTTTTTAGTGTGTCTACCATGACTTTAAAATTATGTTTTGTTGTTCTCCTAAGTTTAATTTTACTATCAGACAACATGTCCTGATTTTGGGATTGGAAAATTTGTTGAGTATATTGGATATCCTGAGATGAGCTCTGAGTTTTAGAGGGAGAGATGAAGCATCAATGATGAGAGAGAAACATCCATCAGACACCTCCTGCACGTCCCACACTGGGGAGCAAGCCCTGACTGGGAATCCTACCCTGACCTCCTGGCTCAGAGGTTGAAGCTCCACCACGGAGCCACGCCAACCAGGCAAGATGTGCCTGGTTTTAACGGACTTCCCACACCTGTACAGATGATGACCAAAGCAAGAATCCAGCAAGGTAAAGGAAATTCTCAAGGTAGATAATTTATTAGACCAAGAAAAAAAACAAACAGACCACATATTAGAAGATGCTGACAGTGGAAAAGCAGTGTTGCAAAGCTGGCAAGTCCTTATTTCATTTTGATTTCTGTGCATGTCTTTATTTAGAGCTGCTGTTCTTGATTTTTCTTTATATGCAGAGAGAAGAGCCATGTGGAGGGCTCCACTCTCTCACTCAATGAGGACTGACAGCCAGGCTATCATGACTAGCTTTAGAAAGAACAATGTGGGGAACCCCATCCAGGAGAACAGGGTTCTGGTTTGGGGAGGCATCAGGAAGAAGAAATCTCCATAAATCTTTTCAGGGTCAGGAGGCTTCTTTGGTTTCCCTCCAGGAGACCTGCCAATGCCAGGTTATAATAGTCAACTAAAGAGAAAGAAAGCATTCCCTTATTGAAGAGTATAAAGTAATCCCAGAATAATGACTTTGTTTCCCAGTCTCCCTAGATGTGCATAGGTGACTAATTCCGACTAATGAAATATAATTGGAAATGGCATGTGCAATTTCTGGAAAGTGTCTCTGATATCCCTTTCCCTGGCTGGAATGCAGACCTGAGGGCTGGCTGAGCAGTGAGCGATCTGGTACATGAGGCAGAAGTAGTAGTAGTTGGAGCAGCACAGGGTAAAGCACCTGGCCACAGTGGAGGATCAGTTCATCCCTGGATGCGTACCTCTGCATCTTGTTTATGTGGGAGGAAACAGACCTTTATCTTTGTCTCTGCCACTGGTATTTTGTTTTCTGACATTTCATCTGGACCTATTCACATGTAAGATGGGTAGTGAGGACCAAATCCTGGAGAGCCTCTGTTAGTATCCCGGAACGCAGGACCTCACTTTGCATGTGGAGGCACTCCATGAGAGTGATTGAAACCAGACAGTGATATGGCCATACCTCTATAAATATTTTTTTTGGCTGAAGCTAGAGCCTAGATTTAGGTGTGGGGAGAGGCCAAGAAGATCTAAAGAAACAGTTACTTCTTGCTTGGGCAGTTCATGGGAGAAGACCAGAAGAGAGGATGGCCAGCTGCGTCTGTGCCTGTCTCAGGCTACTTGCTCATAGATGTGTGTTGCTACCACAGTTTAAACACACGACACTTTTTCCAGAAGAAAATTCTATGTAACATGGATGCAGATTTTATTAGCAATTTTTCCTCTATTAATAATAAATCTCCATTCTATAAAGATTGAGAATGAAGAATCATATGAATGTATAGGACATTTATGATTTTAAATAAAAATAATTTAAAAATAAGGGAATGGTTCTAATTAATATATTACTAAAACACAAAGCCATGCCACTTTAAGGTAAAAAATAAACAGAAAACTTAACAGAGGTGAGAGTGTAGGTTGACACTGGCCAAAGGCCCACTTTTCAGATATTTTCTGACCTTCTGAATTTGTAGCTGCAATGGATAGCTGAATGCTATTTTCTTTCACTTTTCCAAGCTTTCCTACTTGAAGGTTTACAGGTGTTGTATACTTAAAGTCATGTAAGTACCATTAGAGCACCTTTGAATAAGCACATTCTGAAATACACTAGTTATATTGCTCAAAGTACAATGGTAAGCCATTTTCTATACGTGGAATGTATTCTGGCTTCTCTTTAATATTAATTACAATCATAATCATCTGCAGTTAGATTTTGTTTGTGCATACCTCCTTCAATCAATCTGAGTCAGCTCCTGTAAATAAATGCCTTTGGAGCATTTCCCTTTCAAAAGATACGGTATTGTACAACCCCCCCCCCCACAAATAACCAACAAAAACCCCCCAACAACATCCAATACCTCCTCCAATTTGGTCACAGTAGGTAGTAGAATTACAATTGCCTTTGTTTTCATATAAAAGCTTTAAAAGAGTGGTTTCATTTCTGT